CATTTCTTCCTATTTTTGTTTTATCACAAATCACAGATACAACCCGAGGAAAGAGGAGCCAAGAGTGTGATGGTGTGGAATACATATTTATCTCCAAACACTTATTTGAAGCAGACATACACAATAACAAGTAAGTTGGGGGATTTCTACTGAGTTTTTTTTTGTAGAAATCATAATGTATAATATCAATTGAATGTACATGCATTCCAAAGACCACAAAGGGAGCCATTGATGGACAAAATACTTGATAAAGAAAAGTGATATTATTTCCCAGAGAATGAATAGACTGAATGTGAGTGCATTGCGTTCTTTTGTATTTGTGCTGTTGTAGGTTGTATACTGCTAGTTTAGCACAGAGCAGGATTATATCAAGGGCACTATTGAGGAGTATTATCCTGCTTGTGTCAGCTACCTCTAGCAGCCAGTAGAGTTTGCTGCCAACGGGACGGAAGGTGTCTGTTTTGTGTGTTCAAGCGCCATTTTGCTAAGAAACCAGTTTAGGCCAGAATGGGAATTAAGGGGTTGTACGGTAAATGAGGGAAGATGTATACAAGCTAATACATGTAATCAGTATTGTAGAAGTGAGAAGTGCTTAATGCATTTGATAACACTTAAAGGAGAATGCCTGACTCATATAAAAGCAGAATGTTGTTATAAAATAGGAAGCTGTTGAAAATATTGAATACAACTAAGTACCCAGTTTTGCCTAAAGTCATCCCAGTAGGAGAAAAGACGATTTGAAACCGGAGACCCAACTCCCTAAAAAAAAAAAGTGTCATTCTCTGCTCCTTCCACTACTCCAAATAAACACCCGAGTGCAGATTGGGACAACTCAGCTATAATCATACACCAAATTATCCCCAACCAGAAAAATCTGCACCACACACATATATGACAAAATTCTTTATCATTAATACAATCTAAATATCACAATCTATATACAAATGCATCTATTAATAAAGCAGTGAATGTGACTTTCACCAAACATTGTCTGGTGGAGAATCAATCACTGTCTTTTAAAACAAATGGACGTGGAAGATTCTCCACTAGAGAATGTTTCTTAAAAGTCTTATAACTTGACCCACTAACACAAAATATACAAAAAGAAAAAATACCCCATACATCTAAAAACACTAAAATCAAACAACACTAAGATCAGTGCTGAAAGGACAATACCCAAAATACAAGCTCAGTACACCAGTGTGACTTACATAGCACAACATAAAGTTCCACCAAAAAGTCAAATTATATTTAAGTCAAAAACTATTTTTTTAATTCTGGCTAGTAAGTAATAGATACAATGGAAATGTTATTAAGTACATCCCCTCTTAGACATTTATCACCAGAGTAATTATCATCATTGGAATATTTTCCCTCACCTCCTGTTGACAACTTAGAATTTGGAATCTCCTGTACATTTCAGTCCAGGTTATAATGGTCACTAGGACACATAGAGAGGGTGAATCTCCCCAGGGAAGACGTTGCAATAAAAACCTGATGGATGTTCCTACTCTTCTTTACTTATTATTTGGACTTAAAATAGGTACAGATACACTTTAAAAACCTGCATCCTCAGAAGCCCAAACCTACAGTTGATCAAGAATAAGGAAAAAGAACATTACAGAGCATTGGCGACAGGTACACTTTAAGCAGCTTCTGTTTAACCAAGTGTCCTCAGAATACCAATAAGATTTTAAAGGTCAAGCAGGAGCACAGGTCTAGGCAGAAGCTGCTTGTGTTCCATTCAGGACAGTGCCAGCAACACCACTGGCTGTATGGATTTTCTTTACTCCTAAGCATTATTTACATAAATGTTATAAATACCCAACTGTTCGTAGCTTGCTAAACGGAATAAATTGAGTCGGTGATCTGTGCCTGGGAGGGAGGACTGTGCAGATTATGGGCAACCAGCCGGGTGTTATTTTTCACATTAATTGCACATCCCCGAAAGCTGGAAGTTGACCCTGGCAGCTTCAATTCAGAGACACTAACAAGTTTCATTATATGAAACATCAACATAGTTTGTTACTCCTGTCAACAGAACATTGATGATTTCATTTTTTCACATTGACTCATTGACCACTGGAAGTCTTGTGGGCTTTACCCCCTGGCATGTGACATTTCAGAACGCATTCACAAAACCCATAAAGTATCATCGTTCTGTCTATATTTGGGGGGTAGTCTGCTTGCTGGTCATTTTTATGAAATCTCACAAAACCTTTTAAACCACAAATATAATGGTTTTGTTTTTTGGATTTTGTTTTCCTTTTTCTTTTTTTAACGCATAAAATAGTTTCATATTTTCCAAGTCTTCCTGACTGTCTAGGACAGTTGTGGATTGTCAAACAGGGTACTTTGATTGTTTCCTCAGCTTAAAAGCAGGGGACAGGGCCAGTAGCAGAAGGGGCTGAGAGCAGTAGTTTCTCCCAGACAGGTACAGTAAGTATTATAATCATTCCATTACTCTTTAGTTATTCATCCCAGCAAGACTATTAACATTTCAGCATACACCCTCCATTAAACTGATTAAAAGTGCACTTATCCTTTAACAGCAGCCACAGCCACATCGTGTCCACCCTAAATGTAAAGCTCTGTTGGCAAGTCGTCTGCAACTCGTGTTTAATATCTTACCTTATCTTGTTTTGGTTTTTAAGCAGCAGATAAGCGTTTATGGCAGATAATCTGCCATCTTCTATCTGTCAACAGTTCCAAAGCCTTCCCACTTTAGTTATTGGCAGCCAAAGGCAGCTATACCTCAGTGTGCAATGAAATTTCAGTAGTTTCAATTGTTTAACTTCTCCAGCCTTTTATTGCATAGCATTAGCTCAGACAAAGAGCTGATGGAAAACATTAGTGCGCTCTTAAGCTGAAGTGTTTTTTCTTTGCCGGTTGACTGTAACACTAGCAGGTGTTACTGATTTTAAAATGTAAAATACAAGGCTTATATGTATCTATATATATATATATATGTTGGGGGGAAAAAAGGACACGCTAAAGGACTTGGCAGAGCTCACGTCTTCTAAAACATGGTAAGATAACATAGAAATCTTTCTGCTTCCAATTTAACATTATGAAAGTTTTAGCAAAGTTTTTGTTCCCTTCTGTCGCTAACTGGATGTTTTTTCTCTTAATTCGATAAGGTTTATTGAGTACGGCGAATATAAGAACAATTACTACGGCACAAGTATCGACTCTGTACGGTCTGTGCTGACCAAAAACAAAGTGTGTTTGTTGGATATTCAGCCCAGTGTAAGTAAAAATACACTTTACTGACTGATGAAAGAATGTATTAGTGGGACACATTTCTTTACCTTCATTTCTAAATCAAAGGAATAATATCATCATTGTCTGTTGCGAGTGATCAGAGGATAGCTTTCATTTATGAATCTGTGCTAGGAAAGTGAGAGCTGAAATTTGATTGGTTCTTTGATTAGCACCTCCCTATTACCTTTTTACGGTTCTGCTTTTTCAAATGTATTTAGGAAAAAAACAAAAGTAAAAATGATTATAGCCTTCAATGGAGAATAGCCAGAATCCAGCAACAGAGCAAAGCAACGTTTTTCCTCGAATTTATATAAATTGATTTGTTGTTTCTCTCACACACGTATGAAAGTACTTATTGCTGCAATTTCAACCAAAATTCAAGGTCCTCTTTTTAAATATTGGCCCTTTCCCCATTGAAACCGCTGCAATCTACTCCACTCCAAAAAAAAAAAATTGTGGAAGAGAAATGGTGAAAATCTATACTTGGCTTACACCCGGCTTCAGCTAAGCAAGGGTGACAACACAGTACTTCTGGTAAGATTCTGTGAATACTGAGGGTCCCCAACTATAGAAAGGACATTCCTTCTGGAGTGTCTTTTTCGCAAGATTTGGGATACTCCGTTTTCCCAGGATCTTTACAGAAAGATGGTGACAGCAACCCCTTCCTTTGCTGAAGCCAGGCATAATGTAGATATACACTGAGTGGCCAGATTATTATGACCTCCTGACGTTTGTAGGCAAATTAGCTATAATTAGCTATAATTTCGCGCTGACGTTGCTCGAGGGCCAGACCATTATAAATAGGGAAGCAGGTTGTTTACCATGACAGTAGAAGTGACTGTTTTCTGAAGATATGGGTAAACAACGCGATTGAACAGCCTTTGAACGTGGGATGATTGTTGGCGCTCGGAGCCATGGAGCGAGTATCCGCAAGACAGCAGAATTCGTTAAATGTTCAAGAGCAGCTGTTGTTAAAGTGTTTAAAGACTGGACTGTCAGCCGAAAATCTGGGTCTGAACGTGCGAATTGTGGCCGTCAGCGACTAGTCAATGTTAGGGCAGAACGGAGAGTGGCAAGACTGGTACAAGACAACAGAAGGGCAACAGTGCAGTGTCAGATTCCTCGCATCACCTTTCAACATCCTGTGGAGTCACGAGGCGGCCCAATTAAGTCATTTTGTGGAGTCATCTCGTGGCCCAATGAAGTACTGATGGGATGGTCATAATAATCTGGCCACTCAGTGTAAACATTTTCCTACAAGTGGATTGGGGTGCTCTGGCTTAGTGATTGGGCCAGTATTTCACAGTATTTCACAAGCAAACCTTGAAAGTCTTTAGAAGAGAACCAACAAATAAAATTGCGAAAATTACCAACTTGGCTGGATTTAAAGTGATATTAAACCTTCAAAGTTTCATTTATTTTTGTAAATGGGAGGTCCACACTTCCACAAATTCTCCATTCTTTTTGTTTAGAAATGTCCAATTCCTTATTCTTTAGTTTGTCCCTGCATTGCTCACCCTCCCATAAGCTAGCTGGTTGCTATGGAGGCACCCTTGTGTGCGCGTTCACGTCCGTGCCCGCAAGTAACTGTGTGCGTCTATAGACACCTATGGCTCCTCTGCCCTCAGTATCCTCCCCTGCAACCAGGAAGTTCAGGGAACTAAAGACAGCTTCGGGGACCGGCGGCGGTGACAGTGGTGTTTACAGGTAAGTGAGGGGGAGACGAGGGACGAAGGAATGTACTGGAAACTCTTTGTTGTGCAATGAGATTACTTAAGGGGGCCATGCCGGAGAACAGGTGAGCATTGCAGCCTGAACCATATTTTTTAACCAGCTGGGGGAACATTTACAAAAAGTCAAAATAAAAAGTGTAAAAGTGGGTACAGTATAACCCATGTTGTATGCTGCCCTAGGGCATCAGAAATGACCCCTTAATTTCCAAAGAAAACAAGGGGTTTACATTAATGTTCCCTTCAAATCCTCTTATAAAAGCATGTTTTACATGAATCATTTTCATATTTAAGTTTTTTGTTAAAAACTTATAAAACATTGATTTACCAAATTGAATTCCTTGCAAGTTTGAGAACCTGTGACTAATGCATTATGTTCATGCAGGCTTTTGAAGTAACCTTTGCACCCTGTTGAAGATGTTTGATTTCCATATGTCTTTAGTTCTCTTCATGCTGATAAATGTTCACGGAGATCTGCATTTTAGTCAGGGGCCATTGCACAAATTATGATGCAGTTGCCATCCTTCATGCTCTTACCAATATCAAGGCTTGGTTAGGGTCTATCAGGCCAGAAGGAATTGCATTGAGGGAGAGGAGGAACCAGAGAACACAAGTACCATGGTTACCCCCCAATCTAAATGCAAAATGAGGGAGAAGTGAGATTCTTTGGGAACCATTTGATCTACACTGTATAGTTGTTTCTTATTGGTACTTTCCATTTTGAATGTAATAGGAGACAGTGCTATACCTTCAAGCTCTGTCTATACTCCCAAATTTTGAAATACTTTGTTATGTACCTAGAGGTTGCCCATGGCTTTTTCTCTTTCTTTTTACTGCCTATCTGATCATCTAATATGCCATTATTTGATAATAATTTATACTTATCTCTAAATTGTAACTGCTCATTGAAATGTTTCTCCTTTCCTTCTGTTATATTTCTCTATGAATCTTAGACCTAAAATGAAGTACATCATGTAAAATCATGGAGCAGTTGCCCACAGCAGTTAATCTTTATTTTATTTGTCCCAGTGAATGAAAGATAAAACTTCATTGGTTGCTGTGACAGTTCTGCTGTTACTACCAAGGAGATGAAAAGAGAATTAAAGCATTTTCTGCTCCCAAATGTCAAGTCACAACTCCAGACTATTACCACCATCCACAGTGGAGACTTTATTGTAGTGGCCCAGGGGAAACATGATATAGGTTATAAGAGCTGTAAAGTTTATTATTTCATTGTGTCGTTTTATAGTATCACATTTACAAAAAAAAAAAAGCAAGCTTCAAATATCTAAGCATTTTCTTGCTGAAAATGTCCAATATTGTGGAAAATGCTGAGATAGCAGGATATTAATAGTCAATCACTAATAGACCTCTGGAGGGATGGTTGGTTTGTTTCTGCTGACTGGAATAATACAGAGCGGCCTGACTTGCCCGCACACTGTGGGAAGAACACGCTCGGTTTCATCTTGAAATTAAATAAAGGGTGTTTTCAGCATCCCGACTGCAGGTGACACATTGTAATCATTGGCTGCATTTATTTGACAAAAGCCTTCAAAATGAGTGAGTTCTTCCTGCAATGTGAGGTACAATGACTCTCCGGTCAGCATTCCTCAGGGCTTTAACATTCTGCAGACACTTGCTGCGGTGAAAGGTGTTCCCCTTCATATCTCTCTGTATAGCTTATCCTTATGGCTCCCTGCGCTGTAGCCAAGGATCGCATATAAGCAATGTCACCGAGAACATCGGGTTCTTTTAAGGCGAAGCACCTAAGTGATCTTAAAGAGAAATTATAGTATGCATTCATTGAGCCAAAACTTAGTTATTAATGTAATGTGCAACTTAAAGTACCACTAGCGTGAAATGTATTATACTCTGATAACAGTAAGCAGTTGTAAAATGTAACAACAGTATACTATTCAGAATTATTTTTTTTAAATTATACTTGCCTATATATTTCTGTCTGCATTTACATGCAGACCAAGCTGACCAGCACATGGAAAAAATGCCCTGGGTGCACTACATGTAGTCTTACATTTATTTAAAGTATTTACAAAATCACAATTATATCTTAATTATTGTTAGTTTATAATATTTAAATTAAACTGTTTTCTTATGGATGGGTAAATGTTGGGGGGGAAAAACAAACTTCCCTATATGCTTCTCTTTTGAAGTTTTTCTGAGTTGTACTGTGCTCTGTTGGCATCTACAGTATGGTGATTCTAGCAGCCATTTTGTTCTCTACGCATGGTGTCCCTTTTATGTCCAGCAAATGTGCTACAGTTGGGAAATAAAGTAAAATTGTGAATATGTATCTAAAGATTGAATTTTCTTTTTTAAGCTTTGGATAGAGTGGTAAAACTGCTGTTTGTGCCTCTAGTGGAGAGACCGGATGTTGTTATCAGATCAAAAAGTGATAAAAAGTGCAAAATCGTACAATTGTTATCAGAACAGGAATAGTGGGGAGACCTTTCAAATATCTAGGGATTCCCCCTCATTTTCTACAGTGTATATATACTGTG